TACCCCGACACTGGACATCATCTCAGGGACAGGGAAGGAGTGGACTCGAAGTGAGTGTCAGGCAAACCCTCTGAAACATGAAGCCCTCTCTCAAGGCAGGCGGGAGCCTCCAGGGCTGGGAGAGGCCCCATCGCCCTCAGGAATGTCCCCGAACCCCCGATAGCAGCTGCTGGCCACCTTATTGGATCCCCAAGTTCAAAGCGAAGTTTGAAGCCACTCTAATCTCTCCAGACACCAGGCCATGAGCCCAGGCTGGGAGGGTCCCCCACCCACCCCAACAATGAGCAGAGGCTGAGATTTGGGGAGGAGTGGAAAACCCGCCCTCAGCCCACACCAGCCTCAGGCCTTCCGACCTCCATGCGTGTTTTAAACACCTCAGCCCCGCGGCCCAGAATAGCCCCTGGGGATAGAGTGGAACTACATGGGGCCCAGCCCGGGAAACCTGCTCCGTGTGGGACAGCTTCCAGCTCCCACGGTCCCGCCTGGAGGGGCGCGGAACCCCCACGAGGCAAGGCAGCCCCCTCTGCCCACTAGAGGATCCGAGGTGCAGGGGGCTGGGGCCAACCAGCTGCCAGACACCTGTCCATCAGGGAAGGGCAGAGGCCACGGAGGAGCAGCAGCTGCCACTGTGGAGCTGAGGATTGTGGGAAACTCCAGGGCGCAGGTGCCGAGAGAAGCGGCCTCTCCAGCAGCCTCTGCAGCGGTGGGTCCTGTCTTTGCCGGGTCAGCGGAAGCCCTAGTGGGCCACTAGGCATGATCCCCCAACCTCTGTTCAGAAACATCTCAGCTACATGGCTGTCCCGCCTCCCAGAAAGCGGAGGGGCCAGAATCATGCCGGGGAGAAGCCTGGAGTCGCCCTCCCGACAGAACGGCCCTGGGGGGCCCCCCATCACCGAGCCTCCCAGCCTGGACTTCCTCCAGACCATGTCTCAGCGTCGTGCAGACCCGTGTTATTTACTGCTTGGACTCCCTCGCCGACGTCACCCTCCCTAGGAGCAGGGACTTTTTTGTGCCTTTAGTTATAAGGCAGCCACAGGGTCGTACACAGGCCCTGGCATGTGCTAAGTGGTGGGGAAGACTTGCTGGTGAGTGAATGCTGAGGGGGTCACAGCCACCACTGCGGCGAATCTTTACACGCCACCCCCCGAAGTGCTGCTCACATCCTCACCCCATTTCTCAGAGGAGGAACCCAGGCCCAGAGAGGTCAGGCCCCACTGCTAGTAGGAGATGGAGACAGGATTTGAACTCAGGTCTCCGGCTCCAGGGCGGGTGCTTTCCTCTCTCCAGGCACACAGCACTGGGCGAGTCTCATCTCCAGTGTGGGTTTGTGGGTATGAACAGACAGGGCGGGACCCTGCTTTGTGTTGCTCTGTACCCCACAGTAGGACTTGGGGAGCTCTTGTGGTTAACAGGTCCCAGAAAAGGACCCAGAACAAAGTAGGTGCTCAATAAACATCAGATGGATATGGGTGGGTGGATGGATGAATGAATGGGTATATGGGTGGGTGGGTGGATGGATGGATTG